GAGTCATAGTGGCCTCTTCTTCAACTTTTTTGGGGGGCTATTCTTTGGTTTTTAATGCCTGGGACTGAAAAAAGGGCTTTTTACCTTCCAGGCAAACATGCCATCAGTGAACTGTCTCCATAGCTTTTCTAGGAAAAGCCTGATGTATAATTAAAGGCCTTCTTTCTCTTCTTTATATAACTCTCACTTCATTTCATTTTAATTCATAGTCCCACTTTTCACCCTAGTTTGTCCTCAAATTCACAATCTTTCTGCATCCAGAGGCCGGAATTACACATGCCACCATGCTCAGATTCCTTCCTTCCTCCCTCCCTTCTTCCCTTCCTTCCTTCCTTCCTTCCTTCCTTCCTTCCTTCCTTCCTTCCTTCCTTCCTTCCTTCCTTCCTTCCTTTCTCCCTCCCTTCTTTCTTCCCTCCCTCCTCCCTCCCTCCCTCTCTCTTTCCTTCCTTCTTTCTTTGCAGAAGAATCTATATTTTGAATTTTATAAATTGGCAACTGTATCTGTCACACTTCCTGGCCACCAGCTTGCCCTTGGGTTTGCTGTTACAGTCTTAGCATAGTTTGTTTTATGCCTTTTGGAACCTGTTTTAAAGTATGTGTTCTCTGTTGTGTCCTGACGTCTTTGTAGCTAACTTCGAGGTCAACTCTAATTTGACAGATTTCTTTAAGCTGCTAGAATGTAAGTAAATAAATAAATAAATAAATCCTTTTCAGAGTTTATTGAGTCTCTGGGCATGGTGAAGCAAGCATGCCTTCATCTGGATCGCCACCCCACCTCTCCTTTATGCCAACCTTGCATAGCCTGGAAGGCAGCCAGAGATGGATACTTCCACTATGAAGTTAAGTAGGGCATTTGTGTTTTTTTCCAGATCCCTAAGAATTAATGGAAAAATTTCCAGGTGCTTATTCTTTAATTTACATATTCAGTATTTAATTAAGTTTATGCATTTGTGTCTGTGTGAGGGGGGTCACTCCATAAGTACAGAAGTCTGAGGAAACCAGAAGAGTTTATTCACTGGAGCTAGAGTAACATAGTGGTTGAGAGTCATCATGTGGGTGCTGGGAACCAAATTCAGCTCCTGTGCAAGAGCAGCCAGTGCTCTGAACCATGGAACATCTTCTCCAGCCCCAAGGCCCTCACTAGTCAAGGCTTTACATTCCATAGCCTTTATCGTCTGGCTTTTCAGCTAGTCTGTTGTCATGACGATTACTCCTGGCTCTGAGCAGACCTAGCTAGTACACTTACCCTTAAATATTCCAGGCAAGTGGGCTGCCTGGCTAGCTCAGTCAGTAGAATCTGAAACTCTGAAATGCTCTGGGAAAATTCTCCTCAGGTTTCCCTTCAGCACCGGGAGAATTCTGAGTGAGATAAAATAGACACTTTCTCTGAGCTGGTCCTTTGGCAAACACTAGCTACGTCTTATCAAGCAGCCATAACTGTGCGGTCAGGATAAATTCCATTCACGTTCATAATGCTCTCATGCTTAAATCTGGAGATTGGAAATTAAAAGTTAACACTGTTAAATACAATGTGTTTTCCCCCCTTTTAAAAGAAATACACTTCCACCTAGACCAGGAAGGACAGTTTTAGAGCTCTGACTCTTTAGAAGCCTTTGTGGGCTGTGGTGGGGTGCAAGGGCCGCTTGCGTCCAGAGCCCCACATATGCTGCCTTGCTTTCTCTCCCTGGCTCCCTCCTCACCTGTGGGTGGCTTTGGGTACAGCTTTGTGATCGCTCAACAGGCACACTCAAGACACATCCGGCTTTCCCTTGGTCACGCCTGGGTCCTTTCATTATCTCACTGGTGGTACAGTCAGACTGGAGATGAGTGAGCCAGAGGGGAAGGCCCAGACAGTGAATTAGCCGATATCTGTACCAAGGCTGGTCTGGAATGAGGCTCTGGGTGTGGCTTGTAGTCATTTCTGGAGGAAGCAGGGCTCTTCACAGTGAGGGCACCAGGGCAAGCACTCCTCTTTGCTTTGTCTGAGGATGTACTGTCAATGAGAAAGAGCTCTGTTGTCTTAGGGATCACTGTCTTACGTAAACACTATGTAAACTGAAAAGTGAATGTGCACGCTGTCTGGAGATAAACTTGTAGGAGGAAAAGTGGAGTAGAGTAGGATGGATCTGCCGTGTATCTGGGGACAGTGCGGTGTGCTGTGTCACTTTAGTGTCATGGGATGGGCTTGAGAGAGATGGAGACATATGTTCGAGATCTGAAGGGTGTGTGGGAGTCAGAAAAGTGGACACGGGGGCAAAAGAACATTCTTTTGGAAGAAGGGGTTGGCTGATCAAAGACTTCGAGGATGAAGCATGCCCGTGGTGCCCAGGGGGACAGAAAGGAGGTCATGGACTTGATCTACAAGGATAGAGGGATACAACAAAAGTTAAAATCAGAGAGACAGGCAGCTGTTGAGAAGTCAGCAATAGGGCCTTTAGGCTATTTTAAAGGCTAGGGCTTGTGCTCTGAGATTAGAAGCCCCTGCAGAGTTTAGAGCAGAGTGACATCAACATCCCAGAGGCATCCCAGAGGCCCTAGTGATGGGAAAAGAATGTAAGAGGGTGAAAGTTCCTAGAAACCAGGAGGCTGCTTAGAAGGCATTTGCTGTAATCCAGGATAAAGATGATGGCGGCAGGAACTTGGACCAGGGAGGAAGCCAGAAAAGAATGCAAGTGACTGGACTTGGGATATAGTTTAAGACAAATCTAAAGGGTCTTCCTAATTGACTAGAACACACACACACACACACACACACACACACACACACACACAGAGAGAGAGAGAGAGAGAGAGAGAGAGAGAGAGAAGAAGAAGAAGAAGAAGAAGAAGAAGAAGAAGAAGAAGAAGAAGAAGAAGAAGAAGAAGAAGAAGAAGAAGAAGAAAATAGGGAGATGTTAAGAATGATATTGAAGGCTGCTTCTTTTTTGCTATTAGCATCTGAAAGGCAGGCTTATTATTAACCAAGAGAGAAACAACAGTGCATAAAGCCATGTAAGAGAAGAAGATCAGAAGACCAGGAGCTCTGTTTTAGAGAAAGCAAATTTGAGATTTTTATTAGCTACTTGGGGATATTGAGCAGGCAGTTGGACACTCACAGCTGGAGTTTGGGAGGGATTGTAGGATGGGTGGAGTAATAAAGCTGGGATCCATTAGTGGTCAGATGACATTTAAAGCTTGGAGAATGATGAGACCATAAGTAGGGATGAAGGGAGCACTTCCTCGGGAGCCTGGGTCACTGCAGCACTGGGGGTCTGGTAGAGGCAGGAGCTTCTTACACTGGAGAATGAGAACAACAGACCAAGGTTATAAAGAAAGAGCATAGGGAGCGAGTGTGAGAAGTCACTGGAAGAGAGTTTGTGGGTGGCAGTTCCCAAGTGCCCTGGTATTCTGATGGTATTGATGGGAGAGACCAGACTGGAGATGGAAACATAGCTGAGTTTAGCTATGTTTTCCCTGAAGTGGTGGGACAAACAGCTGCCTCTGGTGGGCATGGAAGGAAATTGGCAGGCAGAAACTGTAGAGGGCAGAGGCAGCCATTTGAAAACATTTTGAAGAGGAACTGAGTATTGGCATGATGTGGGTAAGGGACAGTGTTAAATGCATAGCTGAGCACTGATTTGGGAGAAGCACCCATGAACTCTTTTTTCTGGCAGGGAGGCAAACTACAGAAGCTGCTAGTGCACCAGGCACAGGAGCCGTGGAACACTGCGGGTTTCCTTTGATGGATTCCAAGAAAGACTTGGATGTCACCAGAGGGGGATGTGGATAAAGGCAGAAGATGTTGAGGAGGTCTCGGCAGAAGAGAGGGTGTGTCACCATTGTCTGTAAAACAGGACAGGGCCAGTGTAAGAATGAACAGAACAGTTGTTCATAATGTTAATGGCTTTCTGGGATGGAGCCATTATGCATTTTAGTGAGACCCTGTTGGCTCATATAAGTAGTCACTGATGTAGTTTTCAGCGACTAAATATAGGCTTTCATGTGTTTATATGATTATATAAATGACCAAACAAAACCATTTGAATTCCTTGTTTTAATGAAGCAAATAAAGATTAAAGAAACAAAATCAATGGCAATTTACATGGCAGACTTTTTAAGTTTTAAATTTCCAGTTTGATTATTGTGAAGGGATACAACCCTGGTTTGCTTGCTCTGCAGGCAACACTCTGTAATGTTATCTATTCAGGTCACGGTGAGCACAAAGGGAAGGCTAAGTGCAGTGACAGTATTTAACAAACTAAACGGAATTTTAAACAGTGAACTCAAAAGCGTACCGTTTTGGGTTTGGGGATTAATGAGGTTTCAAGGTGTGAATATGATGTGGCTGAAGAAACAGTGACAATGGATTAACTGATGTCAAAAGGAAATCCTTCTAAGACCTGAACATGCAGGCCAGGTCCAATGACCTAGAACCCCAGCAGTAGAGAGGCAGAGGCAGGAGAACCACTGTGAGTTTGGGGCAAGGTTGGTCTACATAGCTAGTTCTAGGCCAGCCAGAGACACATAGCAAGATGCCCATGTCAAAAAAAATCCCTACAAGAATATGGGAAAGAAGTTCGTAGAGATGAGTGGTTGTTGATAGGAGTAGGGGGAACTAAAATCGGGTGGAGAGGCGAGAGCATGAAAGGCATTATACACACACATGGAATTGTTAAAGAAAAAAAGTAATAATAGAAAACCTGGGTTTTCTTGATAGAAAAATTATAGCACATGGCTGGAGCTCACGAGTTCTCTCAATAAATACGATCATCACTAGACATGTGGGTGTACACATATTTAAATTTTAAATCAATTGCAGATGTTCTTAGCTTTCAAATTCATTCATGAGCTTTTACTAGCTGTTATTCTTTAGAAAACATAATTGAAAGTATAATTTTGACTACAAAAAGCAATTAAGACAAGATGTGAACCTAAGTTTGATTGAAAATGTATATTAAAATTAATCATTCTTTCATTATTTTGTATATAGAATTTCACGTAGTGAATATTCCAAAGAGATAATAGGATAGGAAAGCAAGAAAAGACTAAGAGAATAAATAACTAGGAAAGACTGATTTTTATCTGGTTCTCCTATGTCCTTCATACTATGCTATTTCTCATAAGAAAAGTGTCTTGCTTATGTGATAGAGAGGATTAGAAGTTAAAAACATGCAAGTACTTAATCAGCAATGCATATGCTCATGGTGTTGGTCAGACGATGCTGTTTCCTAATGGGTACCACTTTTCCTCACCAAAGGGAACACTGCAGAGTTGGATGTTAATTGCTCCCACAAACACAGTTTTGCTCTTCACAATAAGCATTAAGACATGGCCTTGGAGATCCAAGACTTCATCATATACCACCTGAAAATGGAAAGAGAAGGAATGTACAAATCAGATATGAATGACTGCATCTTTCTATCCAACACTGATTTTAGTTTTTAAAATGAAGCTAACATCTTATACCTTGGAGGCAATAGGTTTATGTCACAGTGTTTTATTTCCAATGCTAACCCTGAAGGGCCAAGTCTTTAACTAATATAACAGAGTTAATTGACTACTTCTCCAAGTATCTTAACAGTTGCTGATTCCATTGAAATTTCCTCCTCCAAATTCAGCGGTTCTGTCGATTATTCACCAGGAATACAGTCAACACTCTCTGCCTCTAGCCACCCTTGAGCCTATGGACTGTCAGACAGCTTGGGTACCAGGCTGTGTTGTAGGTACCTGAGCAAAGACAGGTCAGTTCTTATGTTTTCCTTGTGCTGCTTAAATAGAGAAGGTGCTATTTCCTTACACTTGTGATGGGATCATTTTGTGATTACTTCTTTTACTTAAAACTGCATGACTTTTGATTTTGAAAAATATGTTTATCCAATCAATACATATTGATACAAACAAAAACAAAATAGAAAGGAAAAAAATCTGCTTTTTCACCTTAGAGACATAATCACAGTCAACATTTTTATGTTCTTCTGGTCATATATTGCAATTCCTTGTTTTTCTTTTTAAACATATGACTTGTATAATATATGTATACATATACATATATATGTTGATATTATTTAACTTTTTCCCTAGTTTCTAATATTCAGTACATTATAGTCATAACCATGACCATGACAGACCTGCTGAGGTCAAGAGACATTGGAAGTGGAGTATGGATGAAGATGTTAGCTATGAGACCTGAAAGAAAGGGAAGCCTTGAGTGAAAATATGACATGGTTGCCAGGGAAACATGTTAGAACACATTTAGAAGAAGGAGTTTCACATAGTGCTGCATATTTGCTATTTACAGCCCCATTACAAGGGAGAAGGAAAGGATCTTGGTATATGCAAAACAGGAGGCAGCTTGAGAGGAAAGTCCCCAGACAGCTAGCTGGGTGGCCTCCTCTGTGTGTGTGTATAGGGTTTCTGAGCAATTGTAGTGTTGGGATCCCTTTATCATCCCTGATTCTATCATTGAAGACTGGGTTGAGGGCCCGAAGGAAATCCGTTACTGAGCATGTTGCTTGTCCATGATTTCTTTCCAGGTATTGAATAAATAGAAGTTACCAATGACATTCAAGATCAACCAGTTCTCTGCCCTAGACAAAAGTTTAGAAAATTTACTCATTTACAGGACATGGAATACAATGATGTCTAGTCTCCCCATCCAGCTCCTTCATCCTGCAGAATCTTATCCAGTTACACATGGGAAATTATTTTTGATCTAGTATTTCTATTCGAAGTATCCCAAGCCAGGTATAGGATTCAGAGATAGTGAAGAATTTTAGAGAATGCTTCAAACACCCCCAAATTCAGTTCCTGTAGCTCATGTTCTTCCACTGTAGCTGGATGCTCAGGGCTGGCCGGAAATCCATCCAGAGCTTCAGGGTAAGCACCTTCTCATTGTTTCCACAGTGGTCACCTTTATCTTTCTGACTTCCTATAACATTTCAATAGCGACTGCCTTGTCTGTTCTGCTGAGAAAGCACATGAAGGGTCTTTTGGGATGATAGTGGGGAGGAAGACGGTGACACAATTCCAAGCAGTGGACCCCTGGAAAGGTCTGGGTCAAGGACTGTAGATTGTACAAATCGATTCTAAAAAGAGAATTTTACAGCAAAATATAGCAATAACTTGCATTCACACGAATCTCTCATCAACTGGGAACCTTTGCATGTGTTAATAACATCACTAACTTGTAGCAACGTGGAAAAGAACTAATGAGAGAATAATGTAAGCTTTATGCCAAATATCCAACATTCGTAAATCATCTTAAAATATCCATCAAACACACTAACAGAGGGACTTTTTTTCATCAATGGATGAGAAATATTCTTTCCAGACAAAAGTGATTCCTGCATGAACCCAGAAAGCAGGAAGCCTCATGAAGTGATTCTGAAATTTGTTATTTCCCTGCACCAAATGTAAACACTGGTGCTTACAAAGCTTATGTTACTTGGTAGATTTTTTTTTACCTGCTCCTCAGTAATGCAAATTGTTTGCTTAAAGTGACCAAAGTTATAGCATTGATGGTATATAAGCTCTTAATTATTCTGTGCACACACACAGCTGTGATTTTTGTTGTTGTTTTTAATAGTCTTTTACCATGCAGTGAATACTTGGTAGGTCATGCTAGGGAAGAGATCACGTGAATGTGTTCTTTGTGATGGTCTCATCAAATGCCTTAGCATGTCCTGATATAAACAGAATAAAAATACATATTTCTTTTAATTAAGTTTTATCATATGTACATACATTTTTTTACCCATTAGCATGAATCAAGTCTTCAGTTACTCTGACAAATACAGAATTTGTGGACATGGAGTTGGTACCTAAAACAGAAAGCTTCGAGTGTAATGAGTGTCTGTTAGCTCATATACAGGTATTTCACTGGACATTATTTGACACAGGGCCCTAATAAATAATGCTAAAGTGCATTTTCATGATTGTGATGGGAGTGTGATAAGAAGGAGGTCAGTGTTCCTGTGCTAGTGGTAGAATATCTGGGGCTGAAAGCCATCTAAACCACACTTGAGAACAGAGAAGTGTGAGGGAAGACAGTGTCCTGCAGTGGAGGGAACTTGGGCTTTGGGATCATCCACTTCTGATGTTGAATAGCTTGTGTACCATCTGGACCTCAATATCATTGGCTTACACAGGCACCTGCCATTTAATGAAAAGATGTATCCTGAAACATTGCTATTTGGCGACCTTTGTCCTCTTGTGAAGATGGGGCCTACATGGGACCCATCCTCTGAAACTTGTAAGATGTGACTGAACACGTTTTGTCAGCTTGTGAGCATCAGAAGAGTCGGGGCTGAGCAGATGGCTCAGCAGCAAAGAACAGAGACCCCAGTTTGATCCTCTTAACCTATGTGAAGAAAAATTAGGTGTTGTGGTATAGAGTGTAGTTTTTTCCTTGCCAGTTGCCTGGGCCCTGCTGCATTGGCTGAACCCCCAAATAACTCACAGGACACTATATTAATTATAAAGCTGTTGGCCTTTTGCTTGGTTTCTTACTAGCTATCTCTGACTTAAGTATTTAACCCATAATTGTTAATCTAAGTATTTCTCTTACTGGAGAAAAGGTCCAGACCTATTACTCCTTTGGCGGCTACATGATGTCTTCCTCTGCCTCTCTTTCCCAGAATTCTCCTTGACTCCTCGTCCCACCTATCTTGCTTCCCTATTAGCCAACAGTGATTTATTCAACAACTAATAAGAGAGACAGATTTACCGAATGACATCGCCCATCATAGTGGGATGCAGTGGTGCATGTCTTTAACCCCAAGATGTGAAAGTGAGGCAGAGGCAGGGCAGGGGCAGATTCTCTGTGAATCTGAGGCCAGCCTAGCCTACATCTTGGAAGACCTTGTCTCAAAAACAAGCAAACAAAGCTAGGGAAAATATAGTACCTGAGGCAGGACATAACCTGATGTTGACCTCTGAGATACACACACACACACACACACACACACACACACACACACACACACACACATACATACACACACAGAGGCAAGCATACACACAGACAGACAGACAGACAGACAGAGAGACAGAAGACAGAGAATGATGATGATGAAGAAGAGGTACCAATGCTAGCTAGATATAGAACACTGTCCTTGTGCTGTCATCACCCATCATTAGATACTCTGCAAGAGAGCTTTAGGCTGGTGAAGCATGTAAAACGAGTGTCCTATCCTTTAGAATGTTTCTGTATAATATGCCCCCCACCACAAAAAAGGACAGTGTAGGAACACATCGACTATATCCGTGTAATTATGTTGCAGGGTAGAAATTCTATCTTCATTATGAATCCTTTGACAATGGCAGTTTTAAGCCAGATGTTAGAGGTTGCTGAGCACAAAGAACATTGGTGTGAGGGCTAGAATCAGACACAACTCTGTTTCTCAAAGCTGTCAGGATGATGCCCTAAGCTGCCTGCTCCTGGCCCAGATGCACCATGGAATTTCTGCAAGACAGAGGAATTCAGAGAGAGACTGCTGGCAAAACCTGCTGGGATAGACACTGGAAAGAGTCAGATAGAGAAGCTGGGCCCGGAACCAAAGCTTTGGTCATTGAAGAGTGGAGTCTCTACCACAGGACAGAGTCCTTGAAGTAGCCCTCCCTCTGAGGGGTCTATAATAAAAGAGGGAAGGATTACTTTAGTGAAAAATTTGGCAAGACATTGCTATGCAACATCTTCTCCCTTTCTACGTGTCTGAGAGATTTACACAAAGACCAAAGATGGGAATAAGACCTTTCTCTTTGACCTCACAGTGTGCTGCAAGGCCTGGGCAGTTTGAGGAATCGCAGCTGTGGTGAGGGCTGATGCAATGATCCTGCTTGAGATGAGGTGGAAGAGCAGAACTATTTAAAGCTCGGGGGTGCCATGTGATAAGCTTCTGAACTCTCTAATAGGCACCGGTCTCTTAGCGAGGACATCTATTAGGGCGCCCTTGGATGCACAGAAATAAAGCGCAGGCTTATCATACAAATTGGATCGTGTCTCACAGTTGAGGGCAGGAGAAAATAAAGTCAGATGTAAAGCTGAATGTACATTTTGTGCATCTTTTATGAGCATTGCTGTATTGATACAGACGGAGAACATGACAGGAGAAAACTTAGAATCTTGTGACCTATTTCTGTCTTGTGGCTCTCTAAATTCAGCCGGACTCTCGCTGTCCCCCATCAGTCTTGATCTACTCTCTGAAGCTCGCATTCCTTCAGATTCCTGCTGGTTTGGATCCCATGCACACTGGGACCGTGCAAGTGTGGACTGAGCTACTTTGTTAGCCTTTTAAATTGTGTACAAAACATAAACACTGTGTTTGTGCTTTAGGCAGGCTTCAGCTGCCTAAAGGAATTGTCGTGAAGGAATCGTAGTGTTTTGGAATCACTAGGTCACGGATTTAGGAAGATCTAGGATTATTTCAAAGCCACCGGAAAATTTGTGTCCACACCAAGAATTATAAAATAAGCTTCATACTTGTGTACTTACTGCTGATTTTATAATCCATTAAGCTTTTGATGAGTTAACTTCCAACTTTATTAAAATAATACTGACTGTTTAGTGACTTTTTTTTGTTAAGTGTTTTCTTAGATTGCAAACACTGAATTGTGGTGTAGAGACCTACTGACTTCCCTATTTCCCTCCCTCCCTCCCTCCCTCCCTCCCTCCCTCCCTCCCTCCCTCCCTCTCTCCCTCTCTCCCTTCCTCCCTCCCTCCTTTCATCTCTGCCTCCATCCCTCCTTTTTTCTTTCTGTTTCAACAGCTCTAGATTTACTTGTGTTTCTGCATGCACATGTGTGTGTGTATGTGTGTGTGTTTTGTTTTGTTTTGTTTATGTGGCAGTCATAAGACCACCTCAGATATTGTTTCATAGGCACCATCCACCTAATTCACTTAATTTTAAGTTGAAAAAATATTGTATGTGTGTGATCATTTGCTGGAATGTATATGTGCATCTCATGAGTGCAGTGTCTATGGAGGACAAAGGAGGATATCATGTCACTTGGAGATGGAGTTACAGACAGTTGCGAGCCACTATGTTGGTGATGGGACACAAATATGGGTCCCCTGCAAGAACAGCTAGTGCCCTTAACTACTGAGTAACCTCTCCAGTGCCCTTCTTATCCTCTGATACAGGATCTCTGAAAACTTTCCTGAATAGCGAGATTGACTGTCTTATATGCAAGTAAAGAAATAGACTCCATATTGTTGGATGTGTATCTTTAGCTATGAATGGAGTGGGTATTATTGTGGAAAATAAGACATCAAAATATCTCTACTAATTTAGACAATCCCTCGTAGGCATGCTTTATATAGATTTTACACATGCATATGCGGGATCACTTATAAAACTACCTTCATATATTTACAGACGCAGCTTTTAGAAGTCACTGAGTGTGGAAGATGAGGGGAGAGGAGACATTTCCCTTATTCTCAGGAATTTACGTTCTAGGTCTGAAGGTTACAAGGCAGTGTCGGAGCTTGAGTTACTAGTATCCACAGCAGCAGAGAAGGGCACATGGGATGAATGGCTGCAGGAGGTCATCAGAACCATGTGCAACTGTCTAGGTGAATCGGTATGGACCTACAGGGACTGTAAAAGGCTTCTCAGTGAATCTTGGGTGCCAGCTTACTGGCATTCAGAGTCACCCTGGAAACAAAACTCCGAACATGTCAGTGAAGGAGTTTCTAGATGTGGGTAGCACCATGACCATCTGCCTGGAGCTCCTGCTGTATGCCTTCCCCACCATGGTGGACTGCATTCCCTTTGTGGAATCAAGAACCTCTCTTGAGTTGCTTTTTCAACATATTTTGTCATAGCCAGGATAAAAAGTAACTGACATGAAAGCAAATTTCATATATAATAAAGTGTATAATTCCATTCATGTGACATTTCAAATGATAAATTCACAGGGATAGAGATCCAGTGCCAGTCAGAGGCAGATAGCGGTGGCTATAGTAGGGAGGTCTTTGTAAACCTTGCATAGTTCTTTTCTGTGCCTTGACTCTAGGATCAAGAATGTGACTGAAGCAGTGCTCAGAGCTAAACATCTACACCCACAGAAGGGGACTTCCGGGGATGCTAAAGTTAGAATAAGCCGTTTGGATCACACCAACGTCAATTTTCTGGTGCCAATACAAACTACAGCCTTGCTAGCTATTATAATGGGGGAAAGACCTTGAGGGGCATTGAGATCTGCATTATTTCTTCTAACTGCATGTGAAACTAAAAAAGAAAAGAACACCAGATGTTATTCTTCCACAGGAGAACTGAGGCAAGTTACTGAGTTAAAATTTGATCATCAGTTGGCAGTAAGGAATCTTCAAATAATTTAAATGGATAATTAATAGTTATGTCTAGATAACATCCTAGATAGAAATGTAAAAGATTCATCAAAATTATTTCATAGACTGGTTCTGGTGGTAGTAACACCTGCACTTGGGAGGCAGAGGAAAGTAGATTTCTCTGTTCAAAGTCAGCCTTGTCTATGTAGCCAGTTCTAGGCCAGTTGAGGTTATATAATGAGAGCCTGTCTCAAAACAAAAAACAATACCACAGAGTAAGAGAACAGCTTTGTAATGGCTAGAGAGGTAGGGACCTCAGAGAGAGTTGTACCAAGAAGACTGCATTCAAGAGTCTAACAGTGCTCTCGTGGCACTGGTACAATTGTGCTTAGTTGAACATGTGTGTGAGGGAGAAGATGGTGTCACTAGAATGAAGTTTTGAGTTTGCACAGAATTAAGCCAGTCAACATTCTAACTCTGGTGAGGAAGGGGTTCAGATGACTCCATCCCTATATGAGAGGCTTCTGGGATAGGAGAGTCAGTTCCCTTTGGGGGGGGTGAGGTCACTGTAGTGGATAGCCCCACACCTATGTGCATACAGACTACACTAACTGGACTCTCCGAATTATACATGTTCGAGACTATCAAAGAATAAAGACTAACCCCTTACTCTCCTGAAAAGAAACAATCTTTTGAGATGGTAAAGAAGCAAGTCTGACTTCTTCCAAGTACCTAGGAAGACTTTACGTGGTGTACTCCAGCAATGAGGACGAGAGGCAGGTCAAACCTTGATGCAGCTTGTACTGAGATGGTGATAAAAACTAGTGCTTTGGGAGCCCGTTCTCTATGGAGGGCTACTCTCTCAACCTAGATACACGAGTGGCCTAGGTCCTGCCCCAAATGATGTGACAGACTTTGATGATCCCCCATGGGAGGCCTTATCCTCCCTGATGAGTAGATGGGGGGTGGGGGGCTGGTGGGGAGAATGGGAGGACAGGAGAGAGAGGGAACGGGGACTGGTATGTAAGATAAGATTGTCTTTAACTTAAATAAAAAAATTAATTAAAAAATCTAGTGAATGTATCCGGACTTTATAAATCTCTGTCCTTATCTTTCAGCGGCCAGTGGAGACTGATGCCAGAGCTCCCTAGGATGCTCAGACGCAAGGATGTCATGGAAATCAAACATTCAGAGTTTAAGTGTAGTCAGTAAGCCTCACTCACTGTAGTCATCTACAGTTTTTTCATAACTCAACAAACTCATGCATCTCACTGTGATTCTTAGAGTCCTGGCAGAAAAGGAACTTGGGGTCCCTATCCATATAGATTTAAGACATTTTTTTCTGTTTTCACCAGTGAGGTTGGTTTAATCTCTGGATGCAGAACCTTTGGTTGGGGGGGGTGCGTTGTTTTTGACGGGGGAGCAGACCAATGTGGACTGTGGGAATTCAGCAAACGACATTTTAAGAGGGAGTACTACAACGAATGTAGACATGAGGATGGTCAGAGAAAAATGGAAGAGGATTAGGGAAAGGTGGAACTCGGAGCCACAAGAGTGGTTTATAGCACCAGGTACCTTACAGTCAGTTTGCACCTGCTGTGGGGGAGGAGCCCTGGGTTTAGCCCTTAAGGAGGCTTCAGACACCACTGGAGTGAAGCCCTGGCAGTAATGTCCCAGCAAACAAGCAACCGAAGCATCAAGCGGAGAGGCCTTCATTTTCAGGTATTTCTGAGCAGACCGTGGCGGATGATGCAGCAAGAACAAGCGGGCAAACAATCGTAGCTGGGGCTGGGGGGGGGGGTGCAGAAAAACAAAGGCAGGGCGTGGCTTTAGAGAGAAACCCAAGATTGGATCTGCAAGTCAAAGCATGCTGCAGGTTTCATTTGTGTTTCTGTACCGTTTTTTTTTTTCTTTTCATTTTTGTCAAAAGAGATTTTATGGGATTCACCATTCTTCACACAATGGCTTTTGATAAAATGGTTAGGCAAGGAAAATCAAGTGCGCCAGAATAAAGTTTAAAAGAATAAGATGAACTTGTTAGAGAAAATACAACGGAGTCAGGGAAAGTGTTAGCGTGCAGAACAGCCCTTCCACGCCCGCTGGAGGCTGGCCTGTCAGAACTATGATAGCCGAGTCTGTATTTTCCGGTTCCCATAGCATCTAGAGCACGGTTCAGAATGCTGGGACTATTTTGGGCAACATCATTCCTTTATGGAACAATGCTTCCAATTACTGAAAATTCTCCATATTTGGTTGTGAAGCTGAAAAAGAAAAACCAAAAGCTAAAAACAAAACAAAAAAAAAACCAAACCAAACCAAAAACCTGGTAAGAAAAACACAAACTACCTGGACAGCTTTATACTCACAATTTCATTGTAAGTGGGATCAGTGCATTTTGGAACGGACTTCGTTTTCCTCCTACGAACTTCACTGGGATGTGGTAAAAGATAAATTTCAACATGTGCACTGGGCGCAGAGCCATCCGGGAGATGCTGCGAAGGAAAATGGCTATAAATATTAATGGTGTCGCTATCAAAGGAAACAAATACCTGGATACTAAGTGGCCAGACAAGAGATGGGATCTGGAATTATGAATGCTACCGTGGTTCATCAAGGGGAAAGGAGAAAGAGAGAAAGAAAGGAAGGAAGAAAGATATTTTCTACCTGAAATTGTTATATGGGAGAACAAAGTTCAAAAATCCACCAATTAGACTTCATTTTTTATGAGTGAAATCTAAATTTGCGTTTTTGACAGAGAGAAGAGTGTTAGTCACAAATGAAGTTAGTAGTTAAATATCTTGGGCAGACATACAGTACTCAGGAATCTTTTGAAAATCACATTTAACAGATACTAGCCCAGAGAGCCAGATGATGCCTTCAGTGATCTGGATGCATCTATGATGACATTACATTCTCATGAAGTCTGATCAACATAGCAGCCAGACCCGTAACACCCACAAGATTTTAAATGGTTACACTTAATTTATGTCCTAAGTGACTGCAAAGTATATTGGGTAATTTTTTTAGACAGTGTCACCAGTGGGACAGCATGTCTGCTAGAGGAGCCACCTGCACAGCAATGCTGAAGCATGGCACTCTGACCCCTCCCACCATCTTCTCCCCTGCTGTCCCCAGGCTAAAATGGCGTTCAGTGCATGGAGACTATATGTTAGACTGTCAGTCCTTTCTGGAAAAATGTGGCCAAAGACAGCAGATGATTTGGGACTATCTGCCTTTCCTCCAGTTCATCGACTATTATTTTACTTTTTAATTTTTTTGCTTATCAATTTACCATTTGTAAAGTGAGTCCACCGTTTTCAAAAACAAAATGACTTGAAGTAAATGGATCCTATCATTGTGGGCTTGGTGGGATGAACATTTAGTAAAGAACTCTGTGAGAAATATTCATGGTTCTCATGGGTGGTGGGACCTCTCCATACCAATGACCCACTTGCAACGTTTCTACTTATTGTTTCCACATGTTATGTTCTACTAGAAGATACCATGGTGAGCGATTCCACTGAGCTGGAAGTTAAAACTGCCCTGGATTATGCTATCAAGTTTATGTTACAGTATTTAAGCTCCAATATATCACAGAGATTAAACACCAGTGAAGTATTTTTCTTTTTCTGATGCATGTTTACACATGGGAGCATGCATATATATATATGTATGTATATGTGTGTGTGTGTGTGTGTGTGTGTGTGTGTGTTGGAGAGGGGGTGAACAATGTGTCTGAGTGCGGGAGCATGCATATATATACATATATATATGTATATATGTGTGCGTGTGTGTGTGTGTGTGTGTGTGTGTGTGTGTGTGTTGGAGAGCGGGTGAACAATGTGTCTGAGTGCACTCATGTGGAAGCCAGAGGAGGACATTGAGCCTGCCTCTCTATTGTTCTCCACTTTAATTTTTTGAGATAGACTCTACATTGACCTTGTGACTCATCATTTTGGGTAGGCTAGGCAGCCAGGAAGCTGGGAACACAGGTATGTGCCACCATGCCTGGGTACTGGGGACCAAACTCAGCTCCTCTCTTCATGCTCACATGGGAAGGCAGGCCCTCTATTGACAGAGCCATCGGTCCAGCCCTTTTAAATATTCCTTTACCTATTTCCTTCCTTTGGTTTGTAGATCACTGGCTTACTGAATGATGCTCCCACACTGATTGGACTACATCACCTAGCTTCTCAAGATATTCTTGGCTTCTTCCCCTTTGCCTGAAGAATCAACTCAAGTGATCAAATTGTAAAAGCCTTTGCGTAGTAGCCTCCATCAAGTGTCACACTGAAGCTTCTGGTTTCTATTCCCAAGTCACTGTCCTTGAGAAGATCCTTGAAAATTCTGGAGCTTTCAGAATGACAGAAGAGCACAGGTTTCAGTGTGAGCCAGAAAGGTGGTGAATGCAAGCAGCAGGCTGCTCTGTCCTTTAAGAGCTTTAAATACAGACATCGATTTTTTTTGGTTTTGCAGAGAAACTCTCCTCCCAGTTTAGCTCTCTTCTCAGCATCAATTCTCTTTCCTCCTCTTTTTTTCTATCTGGTGTTGCATCCTCTTCCTTCAGGATCTCAAATAATTTATTGCAGACATCACCAGCTGTCTCTCCATCAAGCAATTCTCAATTTACTCTTTGCTCTTATATTTATGCAAACTAACTTTACTTTAAAATCATTATACAACTCCTGCTTGTCTAACTCTCATCTAAGGAGTGTATTTTGGTTTTTTTTTTAACTCTGGTTGTCTTTTGACCTTCATGAAGACTCAACAGAGACCTGGAGAATGGTCAAACCCCACCTGAGCAAAGGGGAGATTGTCTCCATTCATGGTGGATTGTGGTAAAGCAGCATCACTCCTTTCTTTTAGAATTTTGGCTGATATTTTTAGGAAGTGCTCAAAAGGTAGTGTGAAACATTTTCAACTAAGTTTTTGTTGTTCATCCAAATTCTTCATATTCTAGGCTTTCATTTGAAATTGATCATAAAACAAACAACATCAATAAGAGTTTCCCATGTATATCTCAATATATCATCCTAGGGGTTCATGTTCTTCACAGAAAGACCCCTCTCATTCTACCTGCCCCCCATTCCTTTGTGCTTTTTTCTATTACTCATTCACAAATCCTATCACGTCCCTGCAGGTGGACTGTGTGTATGAAAAGCTTGGTCACCAGTTGATAGTGCTATTTTGGAAGGTTCTGGAAGCTTCCATGTCTGGGGCTTAACTGGAGGAAGTAGGTCACTTGGCAGTATACCTGTGAGTGTTAACACATGCTCTCCCCCTGCTACTGGTTGAGGTGATGAACTCTGACCCTACATGCTTCCCTGACCAGGAAGCTCTTCCTGTTCATAGCCCAGACATAGAGGAGCCAACTGACCATGAACGGAACTCCCTTTAAACCCCGGGCCCACGTCAAGAGTTGTGCCAGGCTTTTTTGTCACAGCAGCAGAAAACTGATGCATATGTTAAACCTAACTCAAGCTGTGGATTCTTCTAGTCCCAAATGAAAAGCTTGAAATTTTTACTTAAAAATTTGGTTTCTCTTTACCTTTATTTCTAAATAGACAAGTCTTTTTTTACTCCAGCATTCTCCCTAAACACTGCTTGAGAGGCAGTAGCACCAAAGACAGACTCGTGTGAGGATATATTCTGAGAGATGAACTGTCAGGTGATCCTAGCATGATGCAAAATTCTTTATAGTTAGTGCTTACACACAACTGCATGGTAACGCCTACTATATATCTAGGCTGTACAGTGTAGCTTACTGCTTCAGGACTATAAACTTGCACCCCATGGCTACAAGTGACTTCAAAGCCAGTAACTTAGTTAGACCCCTTTTCAGAAAAGAAACTCATAGAGTTGCTTCAGCATTAGCTGAAGCCCGTATCTTGTTGCACTGTAGGGTCTTCAGGGGAAGAGCAGAAATGGAGCTATCATTTGTGTGCTAAAAATACCCGACACTCACATTTGGGGGGGTCCAGATCAGTCCCATGTTAGTCTCCCCACTGTCGGTCTGGGGTCTAAGAGCTCTCCCCTGTTCAGATCAGCTGTCTCTGCTGGTTTTGCCAGCCCATTCTTTGCCAATTTGCTCATCACTCCTCTCTCTCTGTCACTGGGTTCCTTATGTTCAGTTCAGTGATTAATTGTGTGTTTGCCTCTGCTTCCATCAGTCACAGGATGAAGGCTCCCGGATGGTTATAGACAACAAGTTCATTATCAGGAATGGGCATTCGAGGTGGTCTCTCCACTATTGCTTAGCTTGCCAATTGGTGTTATCCCTTTAGATCACTCGAGGTCGCTCTGGTGCCTGATCTGTATTCGATCCTATGATTCCCTCTTCCCCCTATTCTGCCCTCACCCCCTCAACTTCCTTTTCCTCCATGACCAACTCTCTTGACTGACTGATCTGGACCCCCCAAATATGAGTGTCGGCGAGAAGGCCTGGGCAACCTATGGGGCCCTGAGCTGTGGATCAGTGTCTATCCCTGATATACAAACAGTCTTCGTGTGCCTATAGCACAAAGAGGGATGCTCTCTCAGCCTGGACTCTTAGGGGGAGTGCCTGGACCCTACCCAGAGTAAAATGACAGACTCTAGATATCCCCTAAGTGGAAGGATTTGGCAATAGGGTGGGAGGGTGGGGGAGAAGGGGAGTGCAGGAGGAGGGGAAGGAGAGGGAACTGGCATTGACATGTAAAACAAGCTATTTAAAATAAAAAAAAATTGAAAAAAAAACCTTCTTCTCAGGTCCCTCATGAGGATCTGCATGAAGGTCTCCAGGGTTACTATAGTCTTTGCAGATATATGTTCATGGCAGTTTGCTAGATTTTCTTATAAAGCCCATAATAAGTCTTTGGGGGGATATTTTCAACCTTAATGGTTGATGTGGATGGACCAATGCAACTGTGGATTGTGCTACCCCTAGGCAAGTGATCCTGGGTCAAAAAAGCAAACAGAGCTTACCATGGAGAGTTAGTAAACTATGCTATGTTCATTCACTTTTTCTGTTCTCTCTCTCTCTCTCTTTCTCTCTCTTGGTGTGTGTGTGTGTGTGTGTGTGTGTTTTACAACAGGATTTCACTGTGTAGCCCTGGCTGTCCTGGAACTCATTCTGTAAACCAGGCTCGCCTTGAAAAGTACTGTTTCAGTTTCTGCTTTGAGTTCCTTCCTTGAGTTTCTATCCTGGCTTCCCATTGTAATGGACTCATAATTGCAAAGTGAGATAAACCCCAAGTTGATTTTGGCCACAGTGTTTATCATAGCATTAAAATCAAATGCATGGTCATTTGAATGGGTAACTGAATGAAAGTCATGCTGTGGGATATTCTTGTACCCTCTCTTATTCTTCTCCAAATTCATTTGATTTTGTTTCTCTTTTGTGGAGAAGGGAGATGAGTCAGAAGGAAATGACCATACTCCTTTATTATTGTGATATTGGTTATAGTACTCACAATTAATTGGACAGATACTTATTTGAAGGAAGGGATGGAAC